AATGTGTTAAGTTTGGAAATTAAGTTGACTAGCGTGACAAGTAAAAGTACAAAGTGCTCTTTGAGTTTTCTGCTGGGTCTTCGGGAAGGAAAACAGTATTTGCTGAGTCTCTAACAGTGTAAAGAAAAGTGGCACCACGAAGGATGAGGGTGGGCATTGTGGTTGTGTGTGAGTTTTAAACTGAGTCACGTTCGCGGGGTAACAGGGAAACCTCGGGCAAACCTGTGCCTTTAAGACTCAGTTGCTATCCAAACATAAGTAAACAGAGTGGACCATTAGCGGGCGCCCGGCGCGGAGGCGGAGCCAGGGAGCTGCGGGCCCTGCGCAGCGGCGGGACGCCCGCCCGGAGGGGAGGCGGGGCCGCTACTAAAGCCCTCGACTCCCGGGCCCGGGCAGCCTGGGGAGGGACGCGGGCGGGGACAGAGCTCGGCGCGCTCGCTGCTGGAGGGTGATGGCCCTGCGAGCCTGTGGGCTCCGACCTCACCCGGAGTCGGCGGCGAGAGGCTCGCCAAGGCGCGGGGCTCCGGACGAGTGCTGAGCTTCGGCTCGAAGCACCCCAGGTCTTTGCACTTCCGCGTCCACGGACTCCGACGAGGGTGAAGAGCCGCGGTCACTTTTGCTGCTCGCGGTTCCCCGGATCATGTCCGCGGCTCCCAGGACTTCGCGCGGAAAAAGAAGTTTGCACGGTGTGGGTCCAATAACCCTGCCTAGCTGCGCGCCTCGCTGCCTGGACCGAGTCTGAGCGGCGCTGCCCGGGCGGCTTCGCTGTGGGAGGTGAGTGTCTGCGCTGGGAAGGGTCTGCAGCCGCCCGAAGAAAGGACAGGTTGGGGGGTTCAGGGGGAGCTTCGATTCTTGGTCGGCATGCCACAAGTTCAGATATTTCTTAAGAAGAAATCGTATGGATGCAAGCCCGAGGCATTGTGTTTCTCATTTCCTCAGACCCCCAGCACGCGACTCCCCCAGCTATCACCCACCTACACACACACACACACACACACACACACACACACACACTTTTATATACTACTTTTTAGTTTTAGGACGTTTTACCTATGCTTCTACTCAGCAAATCTGCTTGTAAAAGCTGCCAGCATCCTCAGAGATAACCCCCTCAACCCTGTGCTGTTTCTGCCCCTGCCCTACGAAGCCCAGGGCGACCGGGCAGCCACGGTAGCTCAGGGCGCGCTGGCGGGGACACGGTGCCTGCCAAGCCAGCGACGCCGAAGGCGCATTTGAAATAAGAAATAGTAGTTCAATCCTGGGTGAATTACCTACCTAGGAGAATAGTCAACCCAGTGCTGGCCCTGGAAGGAGCTCTGGTGGAGTAATGCTAAAAGCACTGGACTGCTAACCAAAGGATCGGCAGTTTGAACCCACCAGCCGCTCAGCGGGAGAAAGATGAGGCAGTCTGCTTCCGTAAAAATTTCCAACCTTGGGAACCCTATAGGGTCACTGTGAGTTGCAATCGACTTGACGGCAGTACGTGAGTTCCAGCTGCAGGAAGAAGCAAAAGGCCAACTCCTGCAGAGTTTAAACTTTGCATTCGTGAGAAATAGCTACGTTAATGAAGTTGGGTTTGTAGGGTGAAAAAGGTGTTTGTGGAGGGAGAGCTCAATCTGTCTGCCTACCTGTTAGCAGAGAACAAAAGAGGACTGGCGTTTCCCCGAGCCAAACGGCGCAGACAGCGCTACACGAACTGCAGTCCCGAGCTGGAACCAGAAAATTACTCACGCTGGAGGAGCGAGGAAGCAGACGGAAACAGCCCAGATTATGAGGAAGGCATCTTAATTTAATTAACTCCCTGAGAAAGCAGAGGCACTGCGAAGGGGCAGGAACTTCGCATCCGTTTTTCTCTATTCACCTGATCGAGTCTGGACATTTTTATTACAAACAAACAAACTCTTTAGATCCACTTAGCCTGTTGTTCTCTGATTTCTGCAAAATCTTACTGTGATTTGGACTAAAATTCAGCAAGCCTATTGATCCATCGGTCATTTTTCTCATATAACAAGTCACAGGTTATAGGCAGATGGCTCTAACTGTATATTGTATTTTGGGAATTCAGTTTAATAATACCATTACCCAAGAGCAAACTGCTTATCAAATTACCATGTTCCTTTTTTCCTACCCCCTCCAATGTTTTGAAAGCTTCACTGAACTGAAATTAGTATGTACACATCTCACTTGTTGACAGGGAGTGAACTGAATTTTTAGAAACTCTGTATGTGGCTGGAAATGCCTAGAAAGAAGACTAATGAAAGAAAACTAGCGTCAGCTCTACTGAATGTTTGTCTTTTCATTTGTTTACATTTCTTTCCTTGCAAAATTAAAAAGTAACCAATGATTAGAAAGGAGATGGTGGAGAAATGACTGCCGATGATGATTACTGTTATTGCCTGAAACGGAGTGTGGGAACTGCATGGCTCGGCCCCAGACAAAACGAAAGTACTTTAGATCTCTGCACTGACTTAAAATATCTTTGACATATATTTCCAGCAACTCAGCGGGAGAGTGGAAATCTAAACTCTTTAATTATTTATGGCAAAAGTGTTTGGCGGATATTTGGGGGTGGTTCTGTTGTAAAAGGGTTCCAGGAGACAACAGTGAGTTGCTCTTGCTCTCTGCAGAAACTATCTGCTCTGCAGATTAAAACAAACACATACTAGGAAATAGCACCTTCATGCCATCACGAAGCTGAATTATAACAGAGTCGTTAATTTCTATATTATAAATCATTTGGAGAAAAGGGAGGAAGATGGCACTCAACTTTCTACTGGCAGAAGTAACGTAAAACCTTTATGGTAGAGTTCACTTCGTGTGTTTGGAATGGAAATCACAGGTGGTCATATTCTCTAAGTCGACAACGACCCCGCACACAGAAGGTGGTGGAAGCTGTATTTTGCCTCTTGTGTTTATTTCTAAGTAATCTAGTCCAGGAATACACCCAAAGAATAATTTCAGTTTCCTCTCTCTGGGGAAGAGGCTGCTTTTCAAAACCGAGGGGGAAAACGAAAATTCTCATTGTGCAAAGTGAAGAAAAGAAAGATGAACTTACTGTTTTTAATCAAAGGGGGAAATGATCAGACAGCTTACCAGGTATGTTAGTAGAATCTCTTCTGCCCATCTCTCCAGGAGAGGGCTTGAGGGTTGCTGCTGAGCAAAACAATCCTGATTAGTGGTGGGAAAGTTTATTACTAATGAGGGTTTACAGATTCGGTTGAATGACTTGACTGAGACCCTCTGACTGTCACATAACTCTCATTAACTCCGGACCTGAACTCCTAGACCACATCCCGCCAGGCAGAAGCGGTTCATTAATAAATCGCTGTCTCGGAGCAGAGGAGGACAGGAAGGTGTGGGCCCCACGGAGGCAGCCAGTTTCTGCCTTGCCAGAGCGCAGTGTCACTAGAGCAGCCCCCTAAGTTTGCCCTCAGATGGAACCACAGGTAATGCTTGACCACTCCACTAGAGAAGAAAATCCAGTTGCAGAAAGGACTGGGTGGACAGAGCTCCCATCTTCCTGTGGGATTCCAAAGTCAGACTAGGGGTTGGTGGCCCAGACCTGCCTGCCTGCCTGCCCGTCTCCTCAGGGAAGAGCTAGTTGTAGTTCCTGCACCTGGAGAGCTGCCCTCAGAGGGAAGGCACAGGCCTGCAGAACTAGCAGAACCCACTGTTGAAAAGAAGTTGGATGAGGCCGAGGGTACACCCACCCTGAATGCAGGTGATGGGGTCTTTGAGCTGCTCCCGGGAACCTTGTTCTGCAGTCAGATCCCTGCGTCGCCGCCAGAGCGCAGGGAGCGGGGAGTGTGTTCGTCCTGCTTAGGCCCAGGCTGCAGACCCCGGGCCGGGCTTCCTGGTGGCACACACCTCCAGGCATATAAACAAGGTTTGTCTAAGCCGGCAGGGCCACACTAAACCTGGCCCGCTGTGGCTCCCCTTCAGTCCTTCCCTTTCCTTCGTCAAGGAGCCTTTTCTCCTCTCCAGCCTTCCTGGTGCAGGGGCCGCTCCTGGTGCCAGGCCGGGCAGCCGCTGGGGCCTCCCGGAGCTTGGCGCTCAGGCTGAGAGAGTGAATTTCGGCCTGGGGGGGCTTTTCCTGCACGCTCCCCCGCCCCCGCCCCAGAAGCCTGAACCATCTGGAAGGGATCTTGGTGGGAGGTGGAAAGGGGGGCAATCCCTAGGAAGGGGATGGGGGGAGTTCCAGACCAAACCCAGCCCCAAGGTGTCGCTTTTCTTTCCTGAGGCTGCCCGTCAACGCTGATAAATGGCACTGTGGAGGAGGAAGGAAAGAGGAAACCTCCGAGATCAGCGCAGGGCAAGGCCGTCAGATCCTAGGGCCCCCGCAAAGGTCCCGAGGCTGCGCATGGCACCCGGGCCTGACCCGCGTAAGCGCGGGAAACACCGCGGCAGGGCAGGACGCGCAGCCTGTGGGAGCACAGCGTTGAGGGGCTGCAGCACAGGGCCCAGGGCTCAGCCGGTCCTTTGAGCCCAGGGTCAGACCCACAGCCCGTCATTCCCAGGGGAGCTGGGAAGCGCGCAGCTACAGCAGCGCGGTCTCCCGGCTTGCAGGCGTTAGCGCCGCATGCCTTCGTGGTTGGCTGCTCTTCTCCGGACAAGGTGGGGATGCCTGGGCTGGGTGCTGCTGCACCAGAGCCCGCTGACCACCTGCATTTCTCCCTTTCGGGTCTTCCACTCAGAGCGTGCCTGGAATCCGACCTTCCAGTGGGGTCCCCAAAGGGCTGCCAGGGCGCCCGGCCCTCCGGGGGGCCACTTCTTTCCCTTTCTGATGGCCAGGCCCGGGCCGAGCACTGGGCGGACTCGCTGGGCAGCGCTCTCAGCCCCTCTCAGCTCCAAAATTTTGGGGGACTTGGAGTACCTAGGGTAGTGAGACTTAAAAGGGAGATGTAATAACCTCCGTCGGCGCCAAAGGGCAGACCTACTCGGCTTGCATAGTATTCACGATCTCTTCTGCTGTTTCTAGGGCTTGCTTTTTCTGCGTGCTGTTGTCTGCCTGGGTTTTCGCCGGAGCCCCACGCCCTCCCGCCTCTGAGTCCTGGAAGAAAGAGGCGGCTCCTTCCGCTCCCCAGTACTCCAGAAGATGGGGAGCAAGGCCCTGCCGGCGCCCATCCCGCTCCACCCGTCCCTGCAGCTCACCAATTACTCCTTCCTGCAGGCCGTGAACACTTTCCCTGCCGCCGTGGACCACCTGCAGGGCCTGTACGGGCTCAGCGCTGTGCAGACCATGCACATGAACCACTGGACGCTGGGGTACCCCAACGTGCACGAGATTGCCCGCTCCACTATCACCGAGATGGCGGCGGCGCAGGGCCTCATGGACGCCCGCTTCCCCTTCCCGGCTCTGCCTTTTACCACTCACCTCTTCCACCCCAAACAGGGGGCCATTGCCCACGTCCTCCCAGCCTTGCACAAGGACCGGCCCCGTTTTGACTTTGCCAATTTGGCCGTGGCCGCCACGCAGGAGGACCCCCCCAAGATGGGGGACCTGACCAAGCTGAGCCCAGGTCTGGGCAGTCCTATCTCTGGCCTCAGTAAATTGACTCCGGACAGAAAGCCTTCCCGAGGGAGGTTGCCCTCCAAAACGAAAAAAGAGTTTATCTGCAAGTTTTGCGGGAGACACTTTACCAAATCCTACAACTTGCTCATCCATGAAAGGACCCACACAGATGAGAGGCCTTACACCTGTGACATCTGCCACAAGGCCTTCCGGAGGCAAGACCACTTGCGGGATCACAGGTGAAGTGGGGAAGGGGGTTCCAAGGGAGAGAAGGTGAACAATATTCCAAGTGTCGTTAAAATCATCTTTGAACTGGAATATATCTTCAAAGGCCCTCCCAACCTGCTTCACCTACCCCCTCCAACATCTGTGTCTCCCCCCAGCCCCAGTCTGCTGAGTTCTTGTTTGGGATGAGGCAGGGTCTCTCCCCATCCTTAGGCAGTAAAAATCCAGGGTGGGCTTTAGTCCTGGGGTAAGTGTCCCAGTTTCCTCTTGGTTGCCCTGGCTGCTGTAGGACCATTTCTGCAAACCAGCTGGACCACCTCCACTGGGTTCCCTCCTTCCCCTCTTATTCCTTCCCCAGGTGCGCCCCAAACCTGCCACTTTGACCTTTTAAGCTTTATATTGGGGTGTATGTCTTGAGGTGACTGAATTTAGAAACAACTCCCACTTCCCCTCCCTGACCTTAAACTCTGCATTAATAACATAAGTGTTTTCATCCGGTAAAAATTTCCCAAGAGGGAATGGCGCTCTTCCCTGGAATCTACCTACTGTTCCCCGAGTTGGGCCTTCTGCACCCAGTCTATGCCGCTATTAAGGGATTTACTAAAATCAGTCCCCCTATACACAGCCTTGCCTTATATCCTGATTTGGCCAGTTTAAATCCCAGAAACAAACGTGGAGGCCAAGAAGGACTCATTCAACACAATTTCAAGCCAGAATACACCAGAGAGGGCGATGAAGTGTAGATAAAGCCAGCCGGCCAGTGAATGTTTGGAAGAGTCTGTTAGTTGAGGTTAACCGTAAACAGAATTACACAGCAAAAAATTAAAAAGTAATATAAAATCTAAAAACATAAATAAGGGAAACCCAGTTTCTTTTTGTCCTTCCACTACTTTGAGTAATTGTCAAAAGAAAAATCCTCATGTAGTGGTACAGTTGGATGAAAGCCATTTCAATGAATGCTTATATTGATTTTCAGGTATATCCATTCCAAAGAAAAACCCTTCAAATGTCAGGAATGTGGGAAAGGATTTTGTCAGTCTAGAACTCTAGCAGTTCACAAAACTTTACATATGCAGGTAAGTTTGTTTTCTTGCTTAAAAACAGTGCCTGGTTCTGTTTGATCATAATTGCTTTACTAAAGATGTTCAGTGCAGTGTCTTTCTCTTAGAAGGTTCTCTGCAGATTAGCTGTAGGGGGAGAAAGGCAGCACTCTTGATTTTTTTTTAACACAAAAAATTAATTTTATCTGACATAAAATGTTTTTTTCTTAAAGAACAAGCTACTCTCTTTATTCTAAATCCTAATTTTAGAATGATTATTTTTGTATCTGATCCACCCTGCATATAAAGCTTTTGTGTTTAGGAGGAAATACAGGTAATTTTGATAATGGAGGCATGATGAAATCTCATATGCTCCCTTTCCCAGGGGCCTCATAATTTGTAGTTTCCAGAACATTGAGGAATAGTTTAATTTTCCAGCCAAGGGGAGCCTCATGTCGTTCCTTAAGAAAGGAATAGTTTTTCCTTCCCCCCTTTCCTGCCTGTGACATGGTGATGAAATGTAAAGAGCTGGAAATCAGAGAGCCCACCTCTGTGGCCTCGGATCTGCCCCCGAAGCTATCAGTGTAATCAGGCCTTTGTGTGTGCCTGCGCGTGTGTTTTCGTGATTGGAGGATTAGGAGCACAGATTTGTTCGTGCAGGTCCCTTCTTTTGTTGTCGTGCGCGTGTTATGTTAACGCTTGTGATACCGATAAGACAAACTATTGAGAAGGGTGCAGTGGTGGTGTGAAGGATTAATCCTTTGCTTGCTTCACATCTGAACAGGAATCTCCACACAAATGTCCCACATGTGGAAGAACCTTTAATCAGAGAAGTAATCTGAAAACTCACCTTCTCACCCATACAGACATCAAGCCCTACAGCTGCGAGCAGTGCGGCAAAGTGTTCAGGCGAAACTGTGATCTGCGGCGGCACAGCCTGACTCACACCCCGCGGCAGGACTTCTAGAGAAGCCCAGGATCTGTCCCGTGCCGCAGCCGCTCCCCTCCCCAGACACCTCTCCAACGCCTCCCACTGGGAGGTCCCACCCCAGCCCCCTACTGACCCCAGCTCTTCCCCTGCTGCAGCCGCACCTGCAGCTCCCAGGAGTTAGCTCTTCTCGAGGCCTGAGAACTGTAGAAAGCCACACATATACATCCCTTCACAAAGAGCCTACGCTAGTTTCTTGTAGATAGTCACAGCTCATTTTAGAGCTTTGTACATAATGTCGTGGGTCTTTGTTTTGTTGTGTGTTTTTATTGTTTTGTTTTTGTATCTTGTTGGATGCACCTAGATATGGAAAATGGAGGCCAAATTTATCTTTAAAGACTGTATTTCAAAATAAAACTTTTTTTTTGTTTCAACCTTCCTGCAAAAGTGTCTTGGTATCTAACTTCTGTGTCTCCTTTGGATTCTGGAAGAATGAGCCGCCACTGAAAATGCAATAGTGAAGGATACTTATTATCCCTGGGTTTTTATGATAAGAACTTCGCACAGTTCTTTTACTACCACTTCAGCATTTCCTTTTTTGTACCATGGCATGTTGGAATTAGATAATTGTGCTGTCTTTTTTTTTTTTTTTAAAGATATTAAAATTGATACCTCTGAGGTTTATCCCTTTTTTGTTTATTCCAATTCTTTGTGTACTACTCTTTCAGATGTAAAGCAATATATTAATAATTATTAATAACATATCAATCCAGTGGCTGTCCCACTTGAAAGCACAAGGTGGGAAGAAACATAAGGAAAACGAAGAGAAAGAAGTTTCTCACCACTTCATTTTTAAAAGTCCTTGACCTGTTGTCAAAGTTTATGATGGGAACTTCTCTCACCATTTAGACTTTGAACACTGTGATTTATCACTATAGACACTTTATGCTGCCTTTGGGGGAGAAGTCTAAAATGCCACAGAAGAGCACAGGAAGATACTACCTTCTAGAAGTTGGGGGAGAACAGGAAACTACTGACTACGTTTGCATTAAATATTTCTTTCTAAGGATAGAAGTCCTTTCTTCTAGAAGGTTAGAATTTCTCAGCAGGTCACTAATGAGGTTTCCATCATGGGTTGGCCTTTCATCCCTGGCAAAATGCTAGAAGTACAGGTGACTCCATGTATACAGCTCATGGCAAGTACAGAATCACCTTCTCAGGCATTCCAACCTTTTCCAAATGATTACCGGGGCATATGACACTAGTATGACAACCTGAAGCACAGAGCAGGATTGGGGTGGAAGGTTTTGGAAGGAGATAAGCAGTAGTAGTATGTAGAGAATGGAGGGGAAATGATTAGACTTAAAGAGGGGGCCCCAGAGGAGTCTTGCAGTCCAGTGGTCTAGTAGGTTCTCACTAGCTGCTTAATAGTGAATAATGAGGTAAATACAGGTATTCTCAGATTCTTTTCAATCTGTATATTTGTGTGAGGAGGCCATGTTTCACCTTCGGGCAACATGTCCTCGGTCTGAACCTTAGAATCCTCAGAACTGTAGGGATGTAAGGACTACATTCAAAATTTCGCACCAGTGCCTTGTACAATACAACTTACTAGGCAGTCTCAAAAAAATGTGCTGGACTCACTGCTCACTGTTATCAGGAGAACTCACAGGACATCACTTCTGCTTCTTACTGAAGAGCACTTCTCCAACACAGTGTTCGCTCACCGGCCTATGTGTCTAACGCTCACACAAACGCATCCCCAACATGCCCAGAGTTTCATTGTGTAGAGGCAGCAAGCATGGAGTGGGGATACGTGTATGTGTGTGTGTGTGTGGTATTTAGAGGGATTAAACTGTTGTTTGTTTTCTTTTGTTTGTGCAGAATTAACTCACTGACCTCTCTATCCCTGCTCTCTCAAGATCCTGCCCACCTTGGCATAGAAGATTTGAATACTTCAGAGAAAGGTTACACATTGACTGTCCCTAGAGCTCCCCTAATCCTGCAAGCCTTTTTCTGTGTAGTCAGTCTCACTGCCCCACCCACCCCAACGGACTACGAGCGTCACAGTTCTATTGCACAGGGTTCAGTCTAATTATCAGAGAATGACCCTTGCTCGCTATCAAACTGCAGGCATATCCTTGAAGTCCCTGTCACAGGGTTGTATACATAGGTATAACCAGAATGCTGTTACAGACCACGTAGAGACATTTACTTTAGTTGAAACAATGGGACTGAGGACTGAAACAGAACAGAGGAGAAAGTGGAGAACCAGTTTCCCCTCCCACACATACACACCATTTTCAAACTGAAGGCTAATTTATTTGCAATTTCTTAATTTATTCATTAATTTAGTAAGTGCTTAATATGTGTTTTCCACATGTCAAGCTCTGTTTTAGGTTCTACCAATTTGTATGATCAGTTTCTGTCTTTCTCTACCAACCAGTACTATTTTGGAAAACCTGACTACTTAGATGACTTTACAATCTATGATAGGGCTTAATTTAACAACTCTCTTCAACCTAGACTCTTAAATCCAGCCTCTAACTAGACTCACAAAGGCCTCTGTCAGCGTTGACTCTTTCCACACCCTCTGCATGATCCTCATGTGAACTTTTGAACAGTGGGTTTCCCCTCCAAATTCTGGGTTTTGTTTCTGGTTCTTCTTTAGAATGTCCAATTATGCAGGAAATGAATCTTATGTGAGACAAACACATGAGACATTATAAGGAAAATGATATCTTGTGTCCTAGGAAATTGATTTGCTGTTTTCTTGGTTCAGAGAAGAGTCATTATTTGAGTTTTAGATTAGCCTGTATTTTCCTTACACCCTCAGCCATAGTCAACTCATGAATCAATACTCTTGGCCAGAGACCAGGAGTGGGAATGATCACGAGTCATAACCACAGTGATGAAGAACTTTGTGAACAACAGTTGAGTATTATTCTTGAACTGTGAACTTAATCTCATTTTGTAAACTATATATGGAATTTTTAGAAAATTCTAAAAATGAATTGCCTTGTAAGCCAAGTAATTGTTAATGTAAATTTATGAATGCACTTATTTTTGTTAATCTCGAAATGTAGGCTGTTGTACTATTAGTGATTTATAATTGTAATTAAAATTGCTATTTTCCCTGAGTAGGCCCTTTCCAAAATTTGACAAGTAAATATTTAAAAAGTCAACAAATCAGAAATAGACTCAATTACCTCTAGTGCTGAAATGAGACACAGATACTGTGAGTTTTTTCTACTGTTCATTTCTCAGATGTTAACATCAACATTTGGACCTCTTCATGTAATGTTCAATCAGGTATCCTTGCCCCAGAATGACAGCCTAGCCCTGGAAGGCAACTGGGAAACCTATTTCTTCAATACTGTCAATTTAATGGATGAGCTGCAGTTGGATTAAATTCTGTGGAATCTACAGCACATTTTAATACAAGACTGGTATTACCATGGCATAATGGTCTGCCTTTCTCATGACCAAAGTAATTTAAATATTATAATATGGAAAGAGAAAAAAAGATTGATGAAACAATATAGCACAGTGTAAATAAGAATGGTTTTTGTATTTGGAAGAATTATTTGTGTTCACGTTTATTAGTGCTATATTGAAACTGTATTTCTCAATTTTTCCTTATGAAATATAACTTGCCACTGATAATCAACTGTGCTGACAGCAATGAGCAATGAAGGGAGTGGAGAATCAGAATGATTCAGCTTTGATGACCTGAGATATTTCAAGTTCATTCTTGTTTCTTTTCTTTATTGCTTGTAGGCTGTTTTTTTTTCCCCCCCAAAAAAAACAAATTACCTTATTATCTAAGCTATGTTGTTTTATTCTCTTGAAACTATCCAAAGGCAAAAACTGATAGCAAGAAAACTGTAAGTAACCTAAATAACCCAAAAGAGGAAAATGGTTAAGTAAGTTATGATGCTGCATCTATTAGGTTGCTTTCTATTGCAAGAAACAGAAAACTAAAAAGGGCTTAAACAAATCAAGAAGTTTCAAGGGATGTTTATTTAATTGGAGCAACAAGCACATCGAGAGCCCAGTTCTTCCAACTTTTCTACTATTTTGTCTTCAGTGTATAGACTGGTTTCCCTCATGATCACAAGATGGCTGCAGCAGCACCAATCACCAGGTCCAGGCTTTACCTCCTCACATACCTTCCATGGGCAGAAAAAGGAATTATCTCTTCCTTGTATTTCTCTTTAAGAGCTAAGAAATCTCTCTCATAAATCCACCCTATAGGCTTACCCTCTTATCTCACTGACGAGAATTGGGTCACTTGTCTTGTCCTAAGCCAATCATTGACAACCATTACCCTCCAGTAGATTTCTGACTCATAGAGACCCTATCAGACAGAGTGGAATTGCCCCCATAGGATTTCCAAGGCTGTAATCTTTATGGAAGCAGACTGCTCCATCTTTCTCCCACAGAGGAGCAGGTGGGTTTGAACCATCAACTGCATTGTGCCATCAAGGCATAGAATGATACCATGATTGATTTAGACTAACTCAAATTCACCTTCTAGGCATGGAGATGGGAACCTTGAATGCCTGAACAAACATGAATTCTGTTAGCATGGAAGGAAGGAGAACTGGTTTTTGTGAATATTATACAAATGTTAAAAGTGAAGTCCTATTAATAATCTGGAAAGATGCTTCTGCTACTTAAAAAAAAAAAGTAACACCAGGATATTAAGTAGAATATGCAGTATTATATATAACAACCAATCATATAAAACAACCAAAACATACAGAAGACTAAGCAGAAGCAAAGACTAGCAGAAAATATACCAAAATGTTAATAGCTATTTATGAATGATGAACTGAATGTACATATTTTTTTCTTTTCTTATTTTTCAACTGTTCTACAATGAGCTTGTGTTACTTTTATAAAGGAAAAAGGTAATGAATTGTTATCTTTTAAACTCCAAGATCCTTTCTTTGCTCAACATATTTCTTTTGATCTTGCCTGATTGCCTCTGACCAACCAGTCTGTCTTTGTCTCTTTTTACTCTCCTCTCCACA